TTTTTTTTTTTTTACAATCTATTTTGGATGTTACTTTGTGCCCCGGTCTCCCCTACATGCAATTTTAAACAAGAATAAATCTCATTTTTATCATACTGCTTTAAACATTTTTTGTATTTACATTTATCTCAATATACTATGTAAAAAATATATACCTATTTGTATAAATAAAAAAAAAAAAAAAAATAAGACAAAAATATTTCTTATATGAATAAGTAACAAAATAATGATGTGGTTAGAAAATAACAACGTAGGTCACAAAAATAGTATGATTATGATGATATTTGAATATAAAATAATACAAGTAAAACTTTATCATTTGGAAACTTCTTTTTGTATTCTTTTTTTTTAGTGCCAAAAGTAGTGCAAAATGTTTTACGCCTGAGCGTGTACGAATCCATATACACAAGAAAAAAAATATCGATACTTACGTTCGCAATCAGTTTCTACACTTTGCCACTTGCTTTCAATTATTTCATTTACTGCAAGCAATTTGCATTTGATTGAATAAACAGAACCAGGATTTAAATTGGTGAAATATCCTGTCAAATGTGTTATATTTTGTACCAGTTTATTCCACGATTGCGAAAAGGTGTAGTTATTTTCTCCCTGTGAAAAATTACATTAGAAAGTGTTATTTTACTTTTTTTCTTTCGAGCACGTCAAACAACGGCCTGAATAATAGATTACTGAGACAGGTTTTGGTAATGATAAATTCTTGTCAAAGATAAACTTAATTTTAAATGTTTTTTTACTTCTATTTTAAAAACATTGGTAAGTGTTACCATAATAGTGAACGAATAAGTTATTTGTATTTTTTCATATTCCTCTTTCCACACTATAGGAAGTTTAGTTCGGATGCTTGTTGAAGTGACAGAGACAATTTCAGGTTCTGTGAGCTTATCTATGCCTTAAAAATCAATATAACATTTGTTTGTCAAAAAACTATTATCAGAATGATACAAATGTCTGACAAATATAATAGCAATAGTATACTCCAAATCAGGAAAAGTTCGGAATTACCTATATGACACAAGGGTGGCACGTACAATATTTTCAAGTTATCAGCACATCCGTTGATACATTCTCCAGTTCTTTTGTTACATCCAAAAGAGTTGCATAAACCGCATTTGTTTGTACAATTATACCCATACCAATTGTTGTTACATACTGCATTTATATATATATATATATATATATATATATATATATTTAATAACATAAAGAGTAATAATATATATTTAATACAATAATATAAATATTAATACTATGAACTCATAACACACATAATCATAATATATATAACTATGACGAGTGTCATAGTAATAAACCTGTAAGAAAACCATTCCAACCTACTTACAATCAGAGCATGTATTGCCTTGAAATCCTGGAGAACATAAACAACCATGTTTATAACAGACTGCAGTTCCTCTACAGTTAAAAGAGCTGTTTAGATCATGTTCGCAGGAAAAAAAACAATCTGGTCCAATTTTTCCTTCAGGACAAATTTTGTCATCTGTGTCTAAATAAGTTTATAAAAATACAAGTATTTTAATAAAATATAGTATAAATTATATTATATTAGAAAATGTCGTATATTAGAAATTATCGATTACAAATACAATATTATATTCTATATTGCTACAAGAGTAACCAATTATAAATAGGTTTCAAAGCTTATAAGAATATAAAATTGTACATGTAATATTTAAAAAGTTGTTAAGTACCTAGATCTATGCTGTTTGTAACTTTTGGCAGAGAACTTACGACAGTATTTTCGTTAAAAAATAATTTTTGGCAAGTTATATTCGACAACAAAGTAGCATTGTTATTTTTTTGCGAAATAATTCCTTTCCTCAAAACGTCTAAGGAAAACCATAAACCATAAAAGATATAAGTGTAAAAAAGTATTAGNAACAATTTACTGAGAAATTCAAGTATTCNACTTANTGGTAGTAAATATATGNAAAATTTATGCATATTTACACCTGTATTGGGACATTGACTAACATGANCTATTGCCCATAACGGGTTATGAGTAGGCTTCGTAATTTTGGGTATTACACGGATTTTTATTTNNCTAATATAAGTGTCGGCGGAAAAATTTCCATCAAGTTTAACGAGTTGCCACATAGGTAANCCGTGAATCGCAGCATTTAGTGAGCCTTTAGCTGTTACAGAGTGTAATANTTTATGCGTTGTAGANTCAATNATCNNGACNTCTGCATTACATNCTGCACACAAGCCTAGTGATAACTGTATGCACATCTTCTGAGTATTAGGTTTATAAGAACGAGTTGTTAAAATTGCATTTTCGTCAACTGTGTACAGGAAAGTGTCTGGAACGCAATATATATACACGTGAGTGTATGTATTTTTCATTACAGGTAATTAGACTATTCTATATCATGATTTGAGTTTGTGAGTATTTACAGTAGAACTTCNTTTATCCGAATCGATCAAGNAACAAATAGTTCAGATAACCAATGCTTAAACTCTATTATACGAATCAACAGTTTGCGTAAAAAGTTTGGGGCCTCAACTTGTTTGAATAAAAAAGATTCGCATAAACGAGGTTCCAATATATTGCTATGTCGTAAGCCGCGTGTAAGAAGAAATGTGTAAAAATTACCATACAAACAGAAGAGAATCTGAAGATATTATATATAGTTGTATATTTTGAAGTTATATTATAATAATTATATTATTTAAGTATTAAAAGGCTAAAAATTTGTTATATAGTGTGATAGCATAAAAATAATATTCCTTTTTTTCAGCAAACAAATCTACTTCTGACAAAACTATTTGCATTTGACAAATCACAATTTGGTTAAAGTTTGCTTTGTTTAAAATAAAGTAAAGTTCTTAAATAAACTTATTGTTTGAAATAAATATACTTACAGTCATGGAAGCGACACAACACTTTGGTTAATTGCTTCGTTTCTTGTCTGAATGTTTGGATAGAAAATAAAGAGTAAAAATTGTCAAATTCGTCGACAGTAAAGTTAAACTTTTCTGTATCTTCAATTGTAAGCATTCTGTTATTATTGTTAGTATCATAAACAGATATATTTCTTTTCCAAAAATCCCATGAAATAACGAACGTTCGCCATTCAGTCTCAGATAATGATGTTAACTGGAATAATTATAATATATATCTACTTGTCTTGTGTTTTTTTTTTAGATGCTCAACTTGCATTTTTTGAGAAAGAAATACATATTTTTTCACATTGTCGTAAAAAAATATATACACAATTGTATTTTAAGTATTTTTGGTATGTTTTTATTTAGAAATTTTTTGATATGTATAAGAAAGAAAAACCCTGAAAATCATATAAAAACTAATATGTTGTATTTATATCTTACTTTTTTGGAGATTGTGTCGGTGATAGTGCGGTGTTGATTTGAACTGGTGTCTAAATAAATAGACTTCTGATATTGAACCGTGAACTCCGTATCATCATATCTTAATGTTATTGCAAAACAAAGTAACTTAATCATAGAAGGTCCAATGTAAAATGTGAAAGAACGAAGACAGACCGAAATGTCCACATTCTGCCATGAACGAATTGAAATAGACATCGCTCCTGTTTTTGGAATTGATACACCTGCCGTAGTAAAATACTCGTTTTCTCGAAATTTTAGTTCTCGAAATTCTAAAAATTTTAAGTACATGTTATTTAAAACAGTAATAGTAACTCTACATTTTGCATACATTTAATGATGCAGTGTATTGAATACTTTGAATTAATAATAGATATAAGTTTTTACACATTGCAAATTTTCTACCTTCCCATCTTTGATCAAATACCGGACCCATTGGTGTTCTCATAGCATCTGTAAGAATCCAATTTTCTCGATTCCATGAATCTAAACAGCTTATTGTTGTGTTTATTAATGTACAATTCATCCATGCATTGAACATTGCTACTTTGTAGTTACTTCGATCTCGTGATTCTAAACAGCCTGTTTCAGCGTCTATTTTGCAATGTATCCAGGTATTGTAGACATGTGTACTGTCGAACTCTACAATATAATATAATATGCGTGTATATAGTAGCGTATAATCTCGAGAAATATGATATCAATGTGTATANAATATTTGACTATTAAACGTAAAATGAAAATAGTACTTAAATTTAAGATGAAGTAGAAGTTATTTACGAAAGTATATAGTAGACTTAATTTACAAAGTTTTAAACGTGTATTTCTATAATATAGTATAGTGTACTTCTATAATATAAGAAAAAGTGGAACAACTTGTTCAGAAAATTTATTTTAAAAGGTTTATTTGCAAAGCTGTAAACTGATAACTTTTTGATATGTTATAAAAACGTTATAACTTACGCAAGTCAGTACGATTTTCTTGCTGATATCGAAGGACTAAGTTGTCATTCCATACAAGTGCGCCGCCGTCGTTTTCTGAGAGACATATATATTTTCTCTCACTTACAGATGAATTTGTATGATATGATTCTCCACGTAAAAGAATTACTTTTCCACAAATGTGGAAAATNTGGGCAGCAAAGAGTAGAAATNTTAANATTATCTGCATTGTCGTTAAATGTGTTCCACATTCACAGTCGATCTTCACAAGCNATAAAAAAAGTCACCAGATAATAATAATCAAATCAAAACAAATAGTGAAATTAATTAAGTATTTTATATCAACATATATATTTTCCAGTATACGTTATTAAACAAAACACAAGCACAGCGAATATACTAATAATAAAAACTCGTATAAAACATGATTGTCTACGTGTAACTCGCACTTTTAATCGTGATTGTAGTAAACAAAATCACTTTTATGATAATTTCACAGAGTAACCGCAGCGTAGAATGCATAGTTCACAAAATATATACTTATACAGAAGTAGTTTTGATTTATCCGATCAAAACGAAAGACAAAATACTAATTGAAAAAGAAAAATAACTTTGTTAATGTTCAAATGTTAAACACAAAACTCTGCAAAGTAATAAGAATAAGTCTAATTTAGTTATGAACTTTGCAGTATTACCGCAACGAGTACACTATCATTGTTACAGTAATTTTAACAGAAAAAAGAGTAGTGGAAAGGAAATTAAACTTCCTTTAATGAATCAGCGATATCAGGTTCCATGTCTGCTAACTATAACTGACACACTCATTGTCAAGTTTGTCTACTAGTAGGAATTACCGAATATTAATTCAATTATGTAGTGGCATCAAATTTGTAAAAGATCTGTCAAATCGTAAATCTTAATGACATCGTATGGCGAATCTTTATTTAAATGTATGAAAGATTTGCTTAAAAGTAACCGTGTATTTATCTATAACAATAATATAAGCAGATGTGTTAGTAAAACACAAATGTAACTGTCCTATAGATGGTCTCTGATCTATTTTTAGACATTTGTATAATATATTGCAAAAGCATCTAATATCAAATATTGCATCGGTTTGTCAAAAGTATTAATAAAATTTTTGTACAGACTTTTTAAATTACCTTTTTTCTCACATATAGTATAACAATTATCTATCTGAGTAACAATAAAAAGCTCGTAGTAGTCGCTCAGTGTTTAGTAAAAAGCTACTAAGAAAAATTTGCATAAGGAAACTTTTGTTTCTTGACACAATGTACATTGAGAAGTAAATATTTTGTTTATATTATATTTGTTAATATTTTGCTTATATTATATTTGTTTATTATATAGGTACATTATCGTGCAGTGTCGTTCACGTGCGAACAAAGAAACAGCTCCGCCTATTTCTCTTCTTGAAAAAACCAAATTTATCTCAATCTATGATACCACAATATCACTAATTGCCACAATGCACATCGCTTATGAATGTACCTTAATATCGCAGTGACATATTATAGATTTACATTAGGTTTTCGTTGTTTATTGCGTCTCATTAAGACTGTCGTGTGTCCGTTTCAACTCGTGAACAATTAAGTTCGTTTTATATCCGTTTCTTGTCATGTTAGGTTTCTGTCCGATTGACACATCTTGCCGCGTCGAAGATTTCACATGAGTTTTCGACAATTGCTACAATAATATGCTTGTTTAAAATAAGTGTATAGTCTCGAAAAAAAATATAATAATATATTAAGATTTAGTTATTACTTTAAATAAAAGTATCAATTTCGAAGTTTAAGTTACAGTAAAATTGATTTATACAAAATGTTTGAAACGTGTGTTTAAGTGTAAAAGAAAAGCGTATACGAAAAAGTGAAACAATGTGTAAGGAAACTTTATTTTAAAAAGTTTAGTTATAAAACTATAAATGGTAATTTTGTATATGTTATAAGAACGTTATAACTTACGCTGAAAAGCAAGAATATTTTGCTGATGTTTTATGTCGTCATTTCATACAAGTGCGCCGCCGTCGTCTTCCGAGAGACATATATATTTTCTTTCACTTATAGATGAATTAATATGATGTGATTCTCCACGTAAAAGAATTACTTTTCCACAACTACGGAATATTTGAGCAGCAAAAAGTAAAACCCATAACATTCTTTGCATTGTCAGTAAATATGATCTACTTTCACAGTCGATCTTTATAAGCGGTAAAGAAAATTATCGGACAATAAGAATTGAGTCAAAATAGTGAAAGTATTCAGATATTTTATATCTACATATATACTTTCTACTATAAATTTTATATATATTTTTATTGTAACACATTAATAAAAACACAAGCACAGCGAATATTTACTAATAAACTTTGAATAAACCATGATTTTTTATGTGCAACTTGCACTTTTAATTGTGATATTAAACAAACTTTTTTTTATGATAGTTTCACAAAGTAACCGCAGCGTGGATAGTATATTTCACACGACGCGTCGCGACGTATACTTGTACAATAAATGTTTATTTGAAATCAAGAAGAAAGACAAAATACCAACACAAAGAATAATAGTTTTACTATCACATGATTTAAAAATTCAAAGATTAAATAAAAAATTGGTAACAAAATTTATGTTAAATTATGTGATCAACGATAAGTCAAATGTATTTGCGAACTTCGCATTGTTACCGCGACAATTGGACTGTCATTGTAATAAGTTAAAAAGAGAAATTGGTGAAAAGGAAACCACACTTCCTTTTATGAATCCGCGGTAACAATTCTATATCTGCTAAATTTAACTGACGCATTAGAACTCTTAGTGATAAGTCGACAACATCTATCGACAAATGTGCAGGTGATTTTGAATA